TTGCATGAGTAAAAGTGTAACACAGTTGTTTACAAAAAGCAAGATATATTTTTCAAGTCCTAATGTTTAGTATTTAACAGTTTTAGTAAAATGAACGTATCAAATATGCATAGAATAGCATGCTCTAAATACTGGGATAAATCAGTTAAAAACCGTAAAAATAAAGATGCAATGGGTCTGCATTTAAAAATTATAATATCCTGTCTGAGGCTGATCTGAAAGTACTACAACTTATTTCTGAGTTCACACACAACTTTTACTGCATTTGTGCCAAATTTCTAAGGATTATGAGAATATTCAGCAGATTAGGTCTTTAATCTGGTACCTCCAGTCTAAAGAGAAAAGTGTCAGATATAGCTAAGCTACTCTGGGTATCAGGATATTTAGAAAACACTGATATTGCTATCCTAGCCTGGAATTTCAGTTCAGGCTCTCTGCCTTGTGCAATGACAAATTTGTTCCCTGCTACAAGGTTTGGTTTGTTTCCTCACACTTAATCAACATAAATTTCTGTTCATCTCCATCCTCCTTTTTAAATTCCTGTCTTTTTAATAAATGCCTTGAGAAATTAAAGAGGTGCATCATGTTCTTGCATCACACTCTGAGCACAGTTAGGCTTTGGCTTACTGAGCTTTCAGAAGATGCAGCCAGCACTATTCTGCCTCCCAAACCATTTCACCGCGGGCATAGGCAGCTTACACATTCTGAAGCAATTGCCATGTAAAGTACTCAGTGATGTATGTTTCCCAGAAACTGAAAATAAAGGTATAAAAGAGATCCACACAATAATTTATGGGCGTTAACATATGGGTGTAAGTTTCTCTGGGGACAATTATGTGACTATGCTAATAACGCCAAGGATGCTTTGATACCTGAAAAAAAATTCTCACAATTATGTTATTGAGCATTTAATTACTGTCAGAAGTCAGGAGTGTGTATATTTAAACAGGAGAGAGGGATGAGAGGCACATATGTCTTCACAAAAATAACCCTCTCCCTTCATGCTGCAGGGAGCTGAGGAAGCTCTGACACAGGCGCTTACGTTAGATGTGCTTAGTGGAAACTTCCCATTCTGAGAGCAGAAAATTGCACAAAACATGCTGAGAGGGGAGCAGTGTGTGTGGTTTGCAAGGATAGCTGGGAGACTGGGCATTACTGACAGTGAAATGATCAAAACCTCCTGGGCTTTGCAGAACTGCTGTACTTTTAAAAGTGCCATCTAGCACACTTTGAAAGAGACTTCACTGTGGTTCAGAAGTGTGCCTGAGGACCACCGTGACAAGTCCAAGCACCAGGCCAAGTTAGCATTCCTTGGAGAAGGGAAGGTTCCCAGCTCAGAGAAATTTCTCCCAAAGCTTCCTTTGACTTGCTGGCAGGCAGTGGGCATGGAGCCCCAGCTCTCCGTGAGAAATTCTCCTGTACATTGCTCATCACTCCCATCATGAGGGCTCAGGGTATTTTAAGTCACTGTGGAGACACCAGAATCAATCCCACCACAAAGGCTGCCCCGGGATGTGGGCTCAGGCCACAATGTCTCTGCCTGTTTTCCAGGATTGCAATTGCCCAGCTGGAATTAAACTTCACACAGTTTAAGTTTTTAAGCCTTCAAATTAATTTCTTACTTCAGCTTTTCTTCAAAGTCTAATCCTTTGACCTCTTGCATTAGGTCTGTGGTACATTGCACTGTTCTAACACAGCAAACCACTGCCCTACTGATGCATAATTACCAGTGTTACTGAAGCATCAGGGGTTTAGAAAAATCATCAGGATTTTTTTGAACACTGACAATTAGGCAGAGCCCTGCCCTTGCTCTGGGGTGGTGGTGGTGAGGGCAGGAGGTGCCCTGCTGGGGGGGTCGAGTGGCAGGTGTGTATTTTGAGAGGCTGTTTCTGCATTTCCAGTGCCTCCCGAGCGTGGCAGGCATGCTGGGGCTGAGCCTCAGCTTGTGGAAATGATTACGAGGCAATTTATACCAAACAACAATCCCTACTGCTGTGTTTGTTACAAACTTGGCTGCAGTACAGTAATGTTCAGTGGATGTTTGCTTTTGGCCTCTCCTACTCCCTTGGCAAACAATTTTCATGTGTAATAAATGTCCTCATTTAGTCTAACTAGAACAGAGCCCATGGGTCAGAATAGCCATACCTGCATGCTGGGGAGAAGAGACTTCAGGTTTCCAGACAAGAGAGCAGCTTTCTTCCCTCTCCATGCCAGGATCCAGTGCTTCTGCCCTTCTGCAGGGTCAGTTTTGCTGGGCAGGTCCCCCAAAATCGCCGAGGAGCTGTGCAGCAGGTCCCCTTCTGCAGGAACCAGTCTGCCCAGTCAAAAGGGTCATTCTGGGCAGCAGAGGCAGCACAGAGTCACTGGGACAGGCAGATATTTCTTGAGTGTTTGGCATTTTAAAATAGAGCAGCATGTTTTAACAACTTTATGAACTTATATATAAAATAGACAAAAAGTAAAAACTCCACACTACAGATTGATCACAGTGCATATGAGGTTAAGTGGCTTATGGTCTTGCCTTTGCACAGAAAAACTTGGCGTTATAAACTCTTTAAAAATCTGTATGGTTTATTTTGTTGATTATCTTTTTTTGAAAATAAAATTTGTTGATTGTCTTTTTTTGGAAAACAAAGACTCTGCCCATGTTTCATAATGTGTGTAGCAGAAATACCAGGATATGCAAATACAGAAGTTACACAACAAAAGCAAAACTGAATTAAAGCTGTTTACAGTAAAAAAACGAGGGAACCAGATCTGCAGCCTTTTAATTGCTGCACCACAGAAACGAGTGTGTGCACAGCCAGGCTATTGAGGTGCTTGTAATGCTGCATGCTGCAGTTGTTTCTCTGCATCTTCCCACTGATGTTTCTGCCTCCTCAGTTCCAGCTAAAGTGGAGGCAGCCAGTCTTGGGTATAATGAACGAGGAATGCAGTCTTGTAAAGCTTTATGACAGCTATCAATTGATCAAATAATTCAGAACAGCAATCAGCACCTAGACAAGTGATGGCCTGGTGACTTGTACCTGGGGAGCAGGGCTGTGGCAACAGTGTTGTCACAACCAGTGGGGCAGAAACCCTGCTATTGAACTCTGTGGCCCAAATGCTGTGGTTGAGCATTTGGAAATACCATCAGAAATACAGGTTGTGCCATAGGTCCAGGTGCTCTCTGACACACCATGGTGAGCATCACCAGCACTGTCTCCAGTGAAGGATTTCTTGCTGGTCCTGTACACTGAGGCCATGCACACACAAGGCTGTGGGCAAGACAGAAGAGCTCAGACAGGCAGGTTAGGTTAGTGTCTGCCTTAAAAAAATGGGCAAGAGAGATTAATTTTATCTTGGCTAATCTGAGCAAAGCGTTACCGTCCCATGGCACAGTGTTCTGTGTCACTGGCAATTTTCGCTGCCACAAAGAGATGTTGCTTGACCACAGCTAGCAAAACAATGAAAAAAACCCCTATAAAACAATTTGACAAGCATCAGAGAAGAAACATTACTAAGCAAATTATTTCTCAAATGTTATGGGGACATATGCAGGGAAAAGAGCTATGAGACTGAGGTTTGCCTTCGATCCAGACTGGCTAACTATGAAATCTATTCCTGCACAATTCCCTTCAATATCTGCCAGATACATTATTTCTATCTCTCCAGGAGGTATGCACAAATGTTTTCTGAAATTAATTTGTTTGGGACTATGTACACTTTGTTGTTTGGTTGATCGTTCCCAGTGAAAAGGGAAGGAAATCTTTGACAACCTCTTGTGGTTCTGGGGCAATTCTTTGTATCTACTTCCTTTTAAGACACTGTTGTGGAAAATCAGTGGTAGGGACTATGAACACAGCAAAACAGAAATATTAGCTCTTCAGACTGGAGCTTATAATTAGTAATTCAGGAAAAAAATGGGTGAGATAGAATTCTATAAATATATTTAGGAACATATTAAATACAGATAAAATTTTGAAATCTGAGCCCAAGAGTGCATCAGGATTTTGAAAATTAGCTTTGTCTTCATAACAAGTCCACACAAACTTCAGGTCCTACTAAGCCTGAGACTGGAGGTATTGAAAATTAACAGCTACATTTGTTGTAATGTGAAAATGTAAGTTAAATAACATCTTCCTTCAGATATTTCCTTCTCTTTTCTTTATATATTTTTTCCTAATTGTCTCAATTTTTCCTTTGGCAGCTATAAAACATTGTAGCCAACCACAAATAACTACAGAGATGGAAGAGGGAGACTGTAAACAGACCGTTTTTTGCTCTTAATTTATTTTGCTTATTCATATTTTGGACATGTTTATTTGTTTACAAGATTGCTGTACATGAATAAAAGCACTAAAAATATTCCCAAGCTATTGGTTACAGATGATTTAATGATGATTTAAAGCTCATTTATTCTCTATAAAATGAATCATGTGAAAACAAAGCCTTCCTGTCCACAGATCTACTCATCTCCCTGTCTGGATCCAATTATCTCAGCTCTTTAAGAGATTCAGCCCAAACTGAGCAGAAATTCTGTGATAAATCTCAACAGTGCCTGAAATATGGGGCAATTTTGAAGCATTTTGGGGTACTTTTTTCTTGCTAACTGCCCAGTCCTGACAACCTAGCTCACAAGAGAGGTTTCTGTTGTCCCTCCTGTCCCATGTCCAGCCTCACTCACAAGTTGCCCTGGGGCTGCCTGTGCAGAGTGCTGCAGGTGATGTGTTTTGGTGCAGCCTTGTACAGCAGCATCCCATCCTGCTCTGGTGTGGATGGTGAGAGGAGCCAGGACAGAGCAGAGATGGCCCAGCACATGCAGAGCCTGCAGGTCCCACATCAGAGAAAAACAGCCATAATTTACCTGCACACCACCTGCTTTTACAGCTAACAAGGTGACAGTCTAACACATCTGGCCACTCACAGGGCTGTTTCTCAGAGTGAAAATACAGTTTAGAGGAGACATTTCCTACACTTTCTATGTAGCAAGAGCAGTGCTGGCTGGGAGGAATGGCTTGTTACATCACTGTGGAAGCATCACTGCAGCTTTCGTAGTGGATTATCAAATGCCTGAAGGCTTTGTAGATGTGTTCGTTCTGGGTACAGATGAACCCACCACTTCTCCAAGCTTGCTCAGCAGCACGGTTTAAGTCCCCAATGCAGGTCCACTGATCTTTAGATTTACTTGAAACAGCCCATTTGGAATGATCATTAATGGAATGAAAGGTGGAATTCAATGGCATCTCTATTAGGTTTATGTTGTAGACGTGATAGTCGAGAGAGCAATTTGAGAAAAGCTTTTGGCCAGAACGCTGCCAGGATTCAGCCAACAAATCAGTCTTCAGTTCCTGAGCCATCCAGGCCACATAGATATCTGTGGAATAATACAGGGTGTGGGAAATTAGTCTGTCATGTTCCATCATTTAAGAACAGACTGAAAAGCATCACCTGAATTGTGCTCATTTCATTGCAATGCACAAAGTCAGCCATAGGGAATTTTGTCCCCTCCTCTTATTTTGACTTTTGTTTCAGAATTTCATTTCTACTTTTCCTCCTTCTCCTAGAAAACCTGTTACAAATAATCAGTCCCGACAGCTCACGCAAAAAAATTGCAAGCCTTCTTCATAACCAAAATTCCCAGATGATTCAAACCCCATTTTATTTCCTTGTTGTTACTTTTGAATAAAAGGAAAGAATTTTTCTGAATATTCCATTGTTGAACTCCTTAAGAAGGACCAAGACCAGCTTTTTTCTCTTTGGGGCTGATAGAATAATAGGTTGGGACACCATTTCTTGCCCTCTCTTACATTTATTTCTGAAGTTGAACTTCTTTTTTCCCTCTCAAAGAAAATACTAATTGTCAAAGGACATAATAATTGCTTATTTCTTGCTTGAGAATGTATGATAGAAAGAGCAACATGTTCTCTTACCATCTATGAACATGTGTGACTTTGCAAAGTGGAGAAAGGTTTCCCCGTGAGCTGACTGGAGCTTGGAGAGGTGGCGCAAGGGGGCCAAAGGCAGCCTGGACTTTGCACAGAGCTTCTGCAGATTTGGGAGATCTGTTTGGAAGATGTCAGGGATGGAACAGCTGTAGATTCCTGGATTATAACTCAGCATCTGTTGGTCTGAGAAAAACCCACAGAAATGAACACATGCAGAATTAAAATGTGTTAAAGCGAAGCAATCAAGAGAGCAAAGTTCTTCCTTGGAAAGAAAACCTAAATTCTTCTTAATCTTCACAGGATGAGGTTAGTGCCAACGTATCTTATTTTAGCAACTGAAAATACGTGTAATTGCTTTGTATTCCCACTGGCCCTGCAGCACATACAAAGGCTAGGAGAGCATGCTCAGGTTTTCCCACTCACACCTCATTATTCTTAGTGGAACGGTGAACTGGTGGTCTTGGTCCACTGCCACTTCCACCCATGCTCATCTTCAAGCCTCTCTGCAGCCCCACAGCACTCAGACAGCCTGTGTGTATTTACAGGAGTAGCTTCCAGTCAGTTACAGCTGCCAAGCCAAATGCAAACAGAAGAGCTGCTAAAGGGTCTAGTTTGGTTTTAGGGAGAACAGAACTTGACTTTCAGTGTCTGGATTGAATTTGCAGAAGAAATTTACTTTTCTGTACAGTGTGCCGGTTAACTGTAGAAGTCCTTGCCATGGATATTGTAAAGAGCAAGAGAACAAATGGGCTCATTAGATGAGTTCATGGAAGACCAGTCCATCAGGAACATTCCAGTCTTTCTAGCTCAGGAAATCCCTGAACCACAGATTACCAGAAGTTGGGAGGATGTGGCAGGAATTAGTGTATGCATCTCATTTTCTAGTCCCCTTTCCCTAAACACAGGCATACATGCGTTTCCACAAACAGCAACCTGGTTTAGATAGCTCTGAGCTGTGGCCAGCCTGGCAATTTGCACAGCATGTGTTTTATTAATAGGATTTGAGGTTTGTAACTGAGAAAAAGAGTGAAAAAAACACAGTGTGAAAAGAGTTAAGGAGCATGCCAACATGACTTCTTGTAATGCCTTTTGATAGTCCCTTTTCAGGATTCCAGTACCAGTTGTCCCTGTCAGATACTTCTGAATCTTACAGGGATAGATCTTGTTGGGTTTTGGGTTTTTTATATATTTAATACTGGTAATTTTTGTGGCAAAAAATACCTGGGAAAATTCTGGGTGATACTTATTCCATACTTCATATTTCTGATGAGTCAAGGCTACTGCTGCAGCAAAAATGATTAATAATCCTACTTTATATTTCCAAAGCATTGTGTATGCATGGACTGAGTTTACCCTTGATATGCACTTGTGACTATTACTATCCTAACAGTCCCCACGGGGAGATGGAGACAGAGTGGAAGAGTCAATTTCTCACATTCACACAGGAAATCATTGGATAAACATAACTGAAGCCAAGAATGCTCTTTCCAGGCACCACTTGGTTTCCCAATTTGACAACAAAAGTTAAGAACAAGGAATTTTTGAGGTGAAACCTCAAGGAAAGCAATCAGTCAGAGAGGTGTAGTGAGGCAAAGGCTTTCTTAGGGAGAAGATTTTCATACCTATTTCTGTGAACTGGTCATATTTGAAGGTTATACACAAGGCTGTCTGTCCATAGGATTCCCCAGTGGCTGGATACCCATAACCGTCCTCAGGGATGGGAGGGAACAGGGGCACACTGTGAATCACCCAGAAGCCTTGTGATTTGTCCAAGAGTAGAAATCCTGTCCAAAAAACATTACTGCAAATGAATTAAGGAGGAAAAAGACCTGAGATGTTAGAGCTGTGTTCTATTTTGGTTTTGCTGCTGCAAACACTACGATGTGTTAACATCTACAGTAAACTGGTTCTAGAGTAGATTAGTGGATCATAGGAGACACTAATGCTGTATTAAAACTGCATCAATTCTTTCTTCTATAGACTAACTCAAACTGTCACCATGTTTCTTTTGAAAAAAATGTCTTTTTAAAACCTCTCTTCCTCTGCTCAAATTTTGTCTTCAAAAGTTCTGATGAATTAGTGGCTGTGACTCTCCCTCCACTGCTTATTTTCCTGCCCTTCATTTATTCACTGCATAAGGGGAAACAGATTCTGTCAACACAGTGTTTTGTTTCCCAGACCAAATTCTCCTTCACGGGAAAGCAGCAGAGAGATGGGCTGTGCTTGCCCCTGCAACAGGGTGCTCCAGGTTGGAGCACAGCTCCTGAGGGGTCCCCACTGCTGCAGCCTGAAAATACAGCTCCGCAAAATGTGTTCATCCCTGGGTCAGGCTGGGCAAACCCCATTTGCTTCCTGAAGAAAACATTTAGATCTCCACTGAAGTTTATGCTTATTTAAAGTCTTGCTTTTCTGTAACTGCACACTATAGTGCTTCCATGATCTTGGCAGCAGTGTCTTGTTCCAGAAAGTCTGGAGGGGTTTATGTTGAGGGTGTCTTTCCCTTCACATCTTGTACTGCTGTTGCCACCAGGCGCAGGACAGTGTGGCTTGTACTCACTGACCTATATGAGTTTCAGCTCTTGAAAACGAAGAGTCCATAAGCCCTAAGAGTTCTTCAACCCAGCACAGGCATAGCAAAACCAAAACAGAAGTTGCAGCATATGTATCTATACAACAAACCACGCATCATGCAAATAATTCTCCAGTTTTGCTTTAGGCAGGAATTTTAGATATGTAGATAGACAGACAGATAAGTAGATGCTATCCACAACTTTAAGAAGGAGAAAAGAGTAGCTTGGGAATCTCCCTGTACCTTTGGTGTGTCCTTTTTTCTGCCCTTTGGAGTCTGATTCAGGGATCTCATCGTTGTATATCACGTACGCAGTAGTGTTCCTCTGCAGGGAAACACACATTTCTGAAACATGACATTCAGTAAAAGGAAGGCATTTAAGTGAACATCATCTGCTGGGAACAGAAAAAAGAATTCAGGACTCCTCTGTGTGAACTTCATGAGCCTAATCCATCTCCCAGTTCAGCTGACACAGTCTCCACAGACATTACAGTAGAATAAACCTGAAGACTCAGCATTAGGGCCCTGGTTAACATGAAGTGGAAGTTCTCTCAGTCCTGCAGCAGCCCTCTCTCAAGGGGCTAAATATGCTTGCTAAGAGAGTTTACATGGGTTTAGTGGGCCCTTGTTTGCAAAGAAATTCCCCTCTCTGTTTTTTGTGCCTCTCTCTGATTTAGCAATCAGATCCGGTGAAAATATTGGCTGAGTAAAAATAGCCATGACAAGTGTACTTATGAAGGAGAAGCAATTAAAGCATTTTGGCTAAATATTTGCATATAGCCACACCTTATTTCCCCTGAATAGAGAACTTCAAAGGAGCTGGGACACGGTTCCCCTCCCAAGGTACTATGAGTTTGTAAACAGTTAATTACAATTACAGTGAAACCTGGGATTGGACAATTTCCTGGACTGCCCAATATATGACTGACTTCTGGGAATCTCTTCTCTACACAAATTAATGACACCCTACCACTAACCCACAGCAGAAATGCAAAGACACACCCAGACTCCCAACAGTACTGTGTGAATGGTAAAAAATATAGGCAGATCTTGTGATATTTTATAATCACTTCCCACAAATATAAACAAGGTGTCTAACTGGGAGTGAAAATAAGACAGGCCAACAGGCAGCATATCACTGCTGGAGCAGTCACAGTGATTTCAGGGGGAAGAGCAAAACCCAGATTTGTTTGGAGACAGAGTGTGAAACACATGCACATAGGATGACTTAGGACAAGTTTCTGTTAACAGTCACCACTGGCCCTGGTCTGAGTTCACAGCCAGTTCACAGCTTCAGACATTGCTCAACATGAATTGAGGGGGAAGAAGTCAAAGGAAGTATGTACCAACACTTTTTTTTTCATGAGCAAACTCCAACTGTATAAAAAGCTTGATTAGAAATTAGAAGTTTGAGGATAATTTCTAATTTTAGCCATAACTGCAAATAATCTGCCCAGCTGCCAAGGTTCTCCCCTTGATGTGTTTTAGTAGGCCTAGTTGGTCAGGTCTGGCCTTCCCTCTATGTGCTTACTTTGGCTGGTTCCATATCATTTGCATGAAATGCAATTTTATCAACTAAACATACTAACAAAATGATAATTAAATGTCACTTGCCTTGGATTCGTATGTGTCGTATAGCTGCTCCAGTGTTTGCCCCAGAGCACCCTGTGTCATGTTGATGAGGTATTTACCAAGCTGCCACTGCGGAGCCAGGACATCCATATACATGTATTCCAGGCCCAGCATGGGAATCTCTCCTTTGGCATGTTTTGGCAACTTGTAAAGAGCAAACCTGCAACAGTGAAGAGCAATTGGGTTTGTTTACATCCACCCTGTTTGAATGCAAATGAGTATTTCCTTCCTACCTGAGGAAAGAAGAGTGACTCCAGGGATGCCTAGGCTGGAGGGGAGCAGTGTGCAGTGTGGACATCCCAGCCTCAAAGCAATGACCCAGGCAAGAACCAGCTGCAGTTTGGCAGCACAATACCTGCTGCAGACAAATCTGCTCCAATTCTTAGCAAGCAAGGGGGGCTGATTCAGCACCAAACTCCTGTTGCTGTGGCCAGACTGCTGTTGGTACTCCTAAAGAACTTGAGGTAGCCCTGGTCTGGAGTCCACCAATCCCTATTGCTCCTGGTTCTGGTAGAGAACCTCAGGTCCCAAACCCAGTCTAACATTCTTAGGGTCAAACAATTTACATATTATATAAATATGGCTTTATATGAAATAGATAGAATTAGGTATTAAAATTTAAAAATGCATAATGTTATGTCTGTATGTATTACAATCTCAAAATAAGTATAAAGCAATGTGACAAAATGTTGTTCCAATCCCACTTTTCATAAGAGACTTGCACTCTGCTAACCTGCTGCAGACTAGATATTTGCAAACAATTAGCCAGAAACACAAATCTTTTCAAAACTGTAGAGTACTCAATATTGTCAGTAAATGGCTCAGTTCATACTAAGGTCCCTGATAAAGTAAACAGGTTTTCCCAGTGCACAAGTCCGTGAGATTAATCACAATATAATTAATTCAGCCACTTTCTTTGAGGGTTGTTCTTGAGTAATTTGTTATGTATGTCAATAGTAAGGACTGAGTAGCACTATTTTCAGTCTACACTATTTACAAAAAATGCAGCCTGTGCTTAACCCTACATGCATATCAGGAGGAGTAAGCCTTGCCCAGTTGATTTACAGCCTCAAGTTGGTCATGAAAGGCATCTCCAAATACAGGTAAGAAGTGGCAGGAAAAAACATTCTGCTAAAGAACATTTAATCCATGGGAAATGTACATGTGCAGGGAGAAAAGAAACACACAGCACTGGTGATCCTGGTAATCCACCTGCATTGCCATTTACTGAGTGATGTTCCTTAAGTATCTCAGGAGAAATAATTTCTGATGGCAGATCACAGAGAAGCAGGTGATTTATATAACAAGGCTGGGGAGAGCTGTCTGTGCCTGTCTGTGCACCAGGAGTCACAACAATCCCTTTATTTGAAATGAAGATTTGGAAGGGAGAGGAATAGCAGTAGTTACAGTACCATGAGCTGATCCAGGAATTAATAGATGAAGCCTTTCCAAACTCTTTTGAAATGTGTTGGAAGATTTATGCTCTGGAGGTGTTTGCAGCCTTGCATCTGACAAATCCACCTTAGCACGTATTCCTACGGAAATACTAGGCATTGAGCTACCAGTAAATTGCTTGTTGTTTCCCACTAGATACATATTTTGGCTCTTTCCAGAAAGCCAGCTGAGTGTATTACAAATTGAAGTTGTATAAAATCTTTACTGCTATTTGTGAACAGGAAATTTCTGAAGAGCTTAGGCATTTGTGGGAGCAGAGTGGAAGTCATTTTCCTGAGAACCAAGAAAAGTAAATCTGCTTAGACTCGATTAGCATTGTCACACTGCTTGCTTGTGACTGAATTTTACTTCACCACTAAAAAGCCCACAACCAAACAATGTGCATCCATGGTTTCAGTCCTTGACTCAACACTTCTCAGAAAGCACAGTTTTGGCATTTATTTGTATGGAAAGCTTCCCAGAGAACACAGTGGGTTTGAATGAATAAAGGAAAGACTTTGCCTGCCTTAGAGAGCTGATCCCATGGCCATTTGCTCTGGTAGCCCCCAGTAGGTAGTGTGAGGTGCAGTGGAGAGGGTGGGACGAGCTCCTGAGTGGAATGAATACACAGGGGAGGCTTTTTCCTGCCCAGGCACTCCTGGGGAGTGTACATGGGATCAGGACAGATAACAAAAGTGATTCCTCCGGTTTAGCAGCAAATGAAAGGGTGTGTGAATACCAAGTACTTCTAGAATACTGCAGGATGAAACTACTGGATAGTAGGAACTCTTAGCTCTTGCTAACTGAAAATCAAACCTGCTGTGTTGGTTTGAAAGGGCACTGACAGATTTTGGTTAAGAGGAAGCTCTCCTAAAGTTTCAGTTCTGCTTCTCCTGTCAGTTTCACAGCAACCAAATCCAGAATCCAAACGCTCTCTCTTTCTTCTCAATAAACGAGGATGACCTTGGCAGATAGGCAAGTTTCTCTTTTGTTTGATCAGGGCACATTGAAAAGGAAATCCCACCCCGTTCTTCCTGTTTAATTTATCAAAGGGAACATAGATTTGCCTGCGCAGACCCTCAATTTCCCACCTGAAACAGGCCCACATTGCTGACATTCACACAGAGGCACAGGTGAATTACTCCTAGCCACAGCTTTCAAAGAATTTCTCAGAGAACTTGGATACAAAAATTTTCTTCATTTAAGAAATGGATGGTAGAAGCTTGGGGGGGTTGTATGTTTTGTTGGGGTTTTGTGGGTTTTTTTGGTTTTTGGTTGGTCGGTTGGGCTTTTTGGTTGTTTAGATTTTGGTCTGTTGTTTCAGGGGTTTTGGGGTGTTTTTTTTCTTTTGCACAAATAAATTAATTCTGTAAGGATTAATTCCAGTTTGGGGACAAATGAAATATCTCATACCTTTAAGTTGCTGGGTAGCTGCACCAACTAAGAGTCTAATTCCTGAAAAAAATTACATTATTCAGAAGAGTCTTAGCAAGAGTGGCTAATCACAGGGATGGTCTGGGCCCTCATACATTTGATGCTACGCCGATACAGAGCAAAGCCAATTTTGTGCTCCTGCTTGAGTAGCCTGCCCGTGATGTGAGGAGCTCCTGCCTTCCCTGCCTACTTCTTTATCACTTGTATCCAAACTAATCATTGTTTCACCAGAAAAACACATATTGTTTCATGAGAAAAACACCTTTCTTTTGAAATTGGTTGTTATTTATCTTTGGGAAGCTTCTGTGCTCTTTTTTAAGAACACTCATTTGACTTTTTAAACCTGGGCTGGATATTTCACAATTGTACTTTTTATCTTTCATCTTCAAAGTGCATTAATGGAATTAATCATTTAATCCCCAAAGCTGGGCTCACTGCTGGCAGTGGGATGGCACTAGCTATAATGCACCAGCAGCTCCAGTGTGGGGAGTGACCTGTGCTCCTCAGTCACAGGGCACAGACAGCTTTGCCATCCCATGCCTCTCCCAAATCCATCCTGGGGCGGCTCAGCCTCCACTCCTGCTCACCCACAGCAGCAAGGGGACAAGTCTCCCCACGCTGCTGTTCAGGTAGGAGCTATGAGGCTGAGGGTGAGATGTGGACATTTTCCCTGCCAGGTGAACCGTGTGCCCCCGGGGCTGCTGCTGGCAAGCACAGCCTTGGCACCCCAATACAGGTTATGCTCCCTTTGATCATGAGACATGAACGCTGTGTAAAGCAGTGATTATTTTGCAGTTAGTCACAGTACGGTGCTTGGCTCAGTGAAATGAAAGCACATTTCAGTAACGTGTCCTAGGTTTTCCAAACACAAAATTCAGCCACGACTGACAGACAAACAGGACTGAACCAGCGATTCCTCTGCGTTGCTTCTCAGTGACCCACCCACTTCTCGCAGTTTAATCTCAAGTGTTTATGTTTACTCCCCCAGCGTTTCTCCCCTGTATGGTATTTACTTACCAATCAACTGTCTTCCCGTCTTCATTCCTGCAGGAAATCTCCGCGGCCCCCAGGGGGATGGAGGAGAGGAGCAGGAGCAAAGCAGGGTGGCACCATGCAGATCCCGCGGGCATTTTGGTTTCTCGGCTGTGCAGGGCGAGCACCGAGTAGGCTCTAAAAGGAGAAGTTGTGTTGCGTTAGCTTCCAGCTCCTGCTGGGGAGCAGCGAGCACACCCCGGGACACGGAGCCAGCAGGGCAGGTCAGGCTCCCACGGCAGGGG